TTGTAACAGGACTTAATTATCTTTCACGGTTTTCCCACCTTGTCATACCTGAACCGGATAAACCTCTGTATTTGCCTCAGCTAAAGGCTCTTAGATTTTTCCGGTGTACGATCAGTATCTTGATTTATTTTGCGAGGAAAGATCTATACTTTTAAAGGATGCCTGTCATTCTTAATACGTTCCATTTCGTATGATACTGTGCAACACCACTGTTGTGAAATAGTTGCTTCAGGCGCCGCCGCACGGCGGGCGGGCGGCCAGCACGAGAGACTCATTGGCGCCTACAAACCTAAGTGGATACTTCAAGCATTGCGCAACGCGTGAAGTATCCACTTAGGTTTGTAGGCGCCAGTCAGCCTCTCGCGCTGGCAGCACGCCGCTCCGCTCTCTTAGGCTTTAATGTTTGTACTCGCATAGTCAGCGTTTTTTAACTCATGATTTTGAAATGTTTGCACACTCTGCATTGATTATACTCATTTAAATTGATGGGGAAAAATATGTATTAATTTATCAAAGGAGAATAATAATATAATGTGTGTTTTTTAAATATTGATGGTTTCGTGTCAAATTTAATGATTTCCAAAGCACTTTAATTTTTTATTTTACATTTTGTGCTTTTATTGTGCTGCAGCGAGGTGTGCGCGCAACCAAACGCTCAAAATTTGACGTATTTGACTCTAAAAGATCGATGTACAAACGGGCTAAAACTAAAGATTGCGTACTTCTTGGTTTTTTCCCTCTTTTATTCATTTTTGCAGTTTCTCTCGGCACAATTGCGGCTTATTAATGTCGCTTAGAAAAGGTATTACAAATATTTGTCACGTTTCAAAAATATAAATGTTTTCAAAATGAAGTCATAATTTCGTAAAGAAAAAATTAAAAAAATAAAAAAGTACCTATACATATATGGACTGAGTTAAGCAGAAAGGAACCAACCCACATTTTGGAAAAAATTGAGTTATGAGTGGTTTTGAACTCAACCACTGCTCTACTATCTATCGCCAAAAATTCAAAGTTTTTGTTGGAGCAAATTTTGCAGAAACAGAACTTGAAGTTTATCTTTTACATTGAGTCTTACGCAGGAGCCAAACTTTAAACCTCTTTTTCTCGGTTCGATCCCGATGTGGCTTGGTTCCTTTCTGTTTAACTCCGTCCATATAAGGTATATTGTACATCGAATAGTTTAAGGATAGGAATAAAACCAAATATTCACCAATGACAATTTGAAAAGAAGATTCAAAAGGAGAAAGTAATAACATTTCATTTAAAAATAAGCAACCATAACAACACCTCCTTCTCTTTTAATTGCTCATTTCTATACTATCAATATAATTTTACATACCGACCAAAATATAACGCTTGGACCAAGTCACCGTTGCTTATTTTACGTATACGGGTGTAAACTACCACACAAAAAAGGTGCGCGGACAAAAAATCGTTGAAAAAAGGTCCTGAAACCGGGAGAAAAGAGAGAGAGAGAGAGAGAGAGAGCGAGAACAAGAGAGTAATAACAATGCAAACAGAGTAGAAAGGCCAAAATATTAGGGGGCCGGGGGGGGGGGGGGTGAAATTATGCCGTTACACGACATTTTCCTTAAAAAATGTCTCAATTATAGGCACTATGATATGAATAGAGTTTCACAGAAATGCTGCAAGCCGCGAAAGAGAGGTTCGAAGTTTTGTTCCTCTATGAAAATGGCATGTTAAGGAGAAAACTTAAGTTCTGTTCTCACGTTCAAAATATTTTTTCTTAATTTTAAATTTTGGACGAAAGAAAATTTAGGAGGGGAAAAAAAATAAAAAAAATAAAAACACACAGCACTGACCTAAAATCTTATGAAAAACTCGGGCTCGGAAAATTCAAAGGAACAAGCCGGCAAAAAAAGGGGGAATCAATAGAAAGGCGCTCAAGAAGTGGATTTTCGTTTAGGACTCCATCGAAATTCGTCGCTTCTTTGACGTAAGGACGTAACTCAATCTCAACGTGAACCCAAAAACGAATGGAGGTATATTGAAATTAGAGCTCAACTCAAAATGCAGATACATGCTCATGTCAGAGGAACAACGAATTAAAGTCAAGGGACGAGGAGGAGGAGGGTGTGTGATTCCAATTCCACCGCGGGATCTCATGTCCCGGGCTCCCGGGGAGATCGCAACCGGTGGCGAGGAATGAATGACCGATAATCGATATTCTTCCACTTGAAACTGTGGTAAAGAATCGATTATTAAGGTGTTCGTTGCGATCACCCTTTTATTCGATCTTTTTTCTAAATATTTAAATGGGAGATCAGTCGATATCGCAGTAAGCCGTGACTCCCGGCCCGACGCGTGCAGCCCCTTCAGTTTGTCCCCCACCCCCCCTTCATTATTCAGGGATGAAGCATCCTAATTTACAGACGATCCCTAGACCCTAAGACGTTCGGCCGCGGGAAGCTTCTTGATCCCCCCTTCCTTTTTTTTAAACGCTGCCCCTCTCAAAGAATTCAAATATACAATGAGGCCCAAAACGGCGATTCATTCGAATGGAGATTGAATTTGATGGTGCATGCGCTTCCTGCCAAATCGGTCAAAATTCCGAAAATACCTTCGGTTCTAATGGAACATCAAAGCTCAAAGGTTTTCGGCGGAGCTCTGACCGCGAGGGCAACAAAATACAAAACGCCTTCAACTTTCCGTGTTTGCAACACGGCCATCCATCGAGCACGAATAGTTGCATTGTCGGGTCCGGAGTGGAAAAAGAGAGGGAACCGGAGGACCGTACTAAGAAAAAAGGGAAAAAAGGAGGAAAGGAAAATCCATCTCGGGGACAGAACCCAAGGCAACTAGGCGAACCGCATACCTAGGCATCCCACCACGAGAAGAAGAAAGCATAAACTAAAATCGGAGAAATAAAGCGGAAAGAAAGCCTGAACGGAAACTCAACTGGTCAGAAAACAAGATACACGAGAAAACCTAACATACGAAAAGCATCACCACGGCATGGCACTTCGTGGTGGCATGTCAGGGTATGTACGTCCTGACGCAACTCGGGGAATGAACGTCCCGAGGGGATCTCTCAGGGAATGGACGTCCTGAGGCAACTCTCTTTCTAGGGAATGGACGTCCTAGAAGGGAGAGAAAAGGAAAAAGACAAGGAGTCGGCTTACTCTAAAGGCGTTGCAAAAACGGAGAAGCTAGACACGGGGGAACTCTTGTCGTTGGCCTTCTCTAGAGCTGATCGCAGACTGATCGCCGCCGCGGCCACTCTCCTGACCGTAGCCGTGGGTCGCTGCGTGCGCGTGGGCTTGCGCACTGGTCACTCGGCGCCTGCGCACAACGACTCACGATCAGGAGTGGGGCCGGCAACGAAGTCGCGGCAGAGCGACTGCGACTGGCTGGCGATCCCGCGCTAAAACTAAGCCAAAAACTGAAAAACCTCTTTTTGGGCGTAAGACCCAACATGCATCCAGGCGTTAGTATCAATATAGAATATCGCGTTACATCGGGCCCGTTGGCTAATGATGCCCAGTATTGTTATTTCGATCTGCAGTTTCGAGAATCGTGCTTCGGTTCAGGTAACTACAGTCCATGTAAGGCTTACAAAGATTTGTGGCATTATTTATTCAATTTGTCGGTTACTCATATCGAAAATTTGGGTTTTCTTTGTAAGCTGAAATTTGAAATTTTGACCTAAGCTTTTTCCCCCAGTATTTTTAACTCACCCAAACTAATATAAATAAACTATATATAAACGTTAAAATTGGAAAATGAAATATTAAATTAACTCTACCAGAAAAAGAAGAGAAATGCAGGTTTTCAATAAAAAAATATACATAGGAGGTTGGTGCATTGAGTTTAACGATGTTCTTTTTAATGTCTGTGATTATCTCATACAGAATTAGCAATCGTCAACATATTGCAATCTGTTAGTGCTGAGTGTAAAAATTTAGATGTAAAGAAACCATAAATAAATAACTGCGTATTATGTTCAGAGGTTAAATAGCTGTTTGCATTTGTCTGGAAAGCATGGTGCCAATGGGTCAGTTGCGCTGGTCACAGAATCTTGTTTTGATGCTTGATTCTTGCAGATTAATTAAAAATAATGAGATCCGTCTAAACAGCAACATTGTACGTTCAGTATTAACCGAGATATCGCCCTTTGAAAAATCAGGTTTTTGACATCATCCACTGCGGTAGTGACACCCGTGGTTTCTTCCACCTTGCTTTCATTGGTTGGTTTGACGAACATTTGCACTGGTTGTTCAAAGTGAAACTCGGATGAAAGTAAGGTGGAAGAAACCAAGGGTGCGTCACTACCGCGGTGGATGACGTCAAAAACCCGATTTTTCAATATTCCGACGGTGAAACTACCAAACCACGTATCTCGGTTTGCGACGTCGCAGACTTCCTGTCATACTTTATTTTTTAAATGAAAAACCACTTAACGTCCAGTCTTGAAAATTTCTGTGATTTTTCCTCTTCGTGCGGAAAAAATTCTGGGAAAATTTCAAGGAATGATATTGATTTGGTCTATTTCAAAAAAATAAAATGTGAGCGTAGATTTTTAAACACCGCAAACGAGATACGTGGTTTGGTAGTTTCACCGTCGATATGTAATGTAATGGGCGATATCTGCTGTTTTTACAGGTCTTATAATTTATAGCTACTCTACAAGAATCAAGCATCAAAACACTATTCTGTGACCATCGCAAGTGAACCATTAACACAGTCGGTGAGATCACATATATTGATTATTGATAGTCAAAGTTGTTTCGGACTGGCAACCAAACTGACTGCCTGGCAAGGCAGATAGTATCACTAGATTTGAAGGCACTCCAAGCCGAGGTCTTGTTTTGAAAGTTCTTTTCATATGAAACTTATACCATGTCGATGCAAATGTCTGCAATTTTACGAGCTTACACACAATTATACCGCTTGATCATTGTTAGTAATCGTTGATCGCCTGCGACATATACATCAACAATGATGTTTTTCTGATAGCTCAACTTTTTTTGTTCTAGGATTAATAATCGTGACTGAATTTTTATTCTTGGAGTTAAACCCAGCTGACAGACTAGCCGCTGAAAACTTGGATAGAACGTTTGAACTGAAACAGGTAAATTGACGTCCATTTCGCATTCACTTTTCTGTTACTTCTAAAACAACCAAAAGCCCTAAAAATTTTTTTTCGGGTAAGAAATCCGGTCGGGGCAATTTATGCATTACATCTTAACCAAATACATTCCCTGTGACCTCTCTAAAAAGGTTTACGAAACCAAGGTAGGCAAAGTTCTCTGTTGCATTCTATCGCTGAAATGAGTTTTCCGTCGAAATATTAAATTTCGATTTTTGGAACCAACCCGACAAAAATTACGTGACACTCTAGGTGAATGGAGGGTCGGCAAGAGTGTTGCGTCATTTTGTTTTAACGCGTTGAAGGATAGACACTTACGTCACAAAAGCGGTACAAGGGGGGGGGAGGGTCGTCAAAAATGCCGAAAAAGTGCGTTACGAAATGTAGGGTTGATCCCTTGCACACAATATGTCTCCGTGAAGTATGGTCCCCTCTCTTTTCGACG